GATGTTGGATAGCCATTTGTCTGGAATGGTATAGGATTTCCTGCCTAGACAGGGGGTTGGACTAGAAGACCTCCAAGATCCCTTCCAACTCTGCTATTGTATTGTATTATTGTATTGTAAGTTCCAAATCAAACTAAAGAAGAAGAACAAAGTTATCCAATTTCTACAATATGATCTTGAACATATGCTGACTATTTTCAAGATCGCTAGAAACTGCTTTGAAGTCCTAAACTTCACAAGTAAGGAACCAGAGGAACTATGGAATGAAATCAAAGAATTTAAGAATGAATGGAAAAGAGATTGCCAATAGACAGAAGAAAGTAAACTGGAAGTCAGAACAGATGGTGGAAACTGTCCATAAAAGAAGCCAAAGCCAAGAAAGACAATGATCTCAGAAAGAACTTACAGAATTTAAGTGATCCATTAGAATAGTCAAGAAACAATATTGGAATGTAAAGTCATCAAGATGGAAACAGACATAGATAAACAAGGAAAGAATTGTGATCCAAAAGAATTATGATCATTAAAGGAGGTTCCAACAACAAATTTGCATACTAAAGGATGGACAGTCATGAACTGATTCAAATAGGATCAATAATGCATTCTGAAGTAGCTTTTGGAGGTAACACAAAAATTATAATGGATCCTGAATATGTATACTGAAATTACTGGTAAGTCAATCCAGCCAAAGCATGGTAACAACTCTCCTGACATTGCTGTCTTGGTTATCTACTATAAATTACTAATAAAACATGATGCTAACACAACATTAAATTATTTATTTAGATTTTCGTAACTTGTCTTTATTATTTTTACAAATAAGATGGTGAACATACCTAATATTCCTTTTTCCTCCTATTTTCCCCACAACAACAACTTGTGAGGGGAGTTGTGCTGAGAGAGAGTGATTGGCCCAAAGCCACCCAGCTGGCTTTCATTATACCAACCACCATCCTGCCAGAGGTGAACCTACCCATTCATTGAGAACAGTTCTCTGGCAAGCTTGCTATGAGACCATATGTAGAAGACGACCTTAACTCAGAGAAGGGAGATCCATTATCAAAGCAACAAGTAGATACACATGTCTTGATAGGTCTACCTTGTAACTGCCATAAGCAAGACAATGAGGCCTTTCTGTGGCAGCTCCCATACTTTGGCATTCTTTACCCCTAACATCCATACAGCTCCCTCACTTCTCTCAGATATTCAAAGAGAGTTTAATTTCATTTGGCCTTCAGCCACTTTTTGATTTATCAACTCCTCAACATGGGGCAGAATTGATTTATTGGTAGCAAATGCACTACTAAAATAGCATTGCTTTTTATAATTTGATTTACTACTATTAATTCTGATCCCATTCAGCAGGAATTTTAGAGAGCTAAATTTTGGTTGGTGGGGTATCTCATTCAGATGTGTTCTAACAAGCTTTCATCAAAGAGAGGCATGTTCTGCTTGACACTTTAAGATCTCCTTTTACATTTAATTGAGGAATATTAAAGACCTAATTTCCATGGCCATATTACAAAGTGGTTACAATTGTTTAGGTTTGAGAATCCTGATAATCTCTTTGTTCATAAGAAAAATGCACATTATACTATACAATGAATGAATAAATAATACAGATAAGCAGGACATCAAGGCCAATGTAATATGATGTATTTTTAAAAGATTCATTTTATTATTTCTATGTCAAAGTATTCTGGCTGAGAATTCAATTGTAGGTTACTTATTCACATCAACTAGGCAACCCTTAGAATTATTTGTCTTTTTTAATAATTACCTCATAGGAAATCAGAGCAGTATGTCATTTAGCTTTGATATAATTTATGGTAAAACATTTTTACATTTCTTTTTAAAATATGCCAGGAAGCTCAGCAGTTTGCAGAGTTAACATAATTATAAGCGATATGAAAATAGAATTCACTAGTTTCTCAGATAAATACATAAACAGAAAGCATATTACCAGCTCACATACGGGTATTAAAGGCTAACTATAATTATTCAGACTTAGGTTATTCATAGGTATGCTCATTTAAATTAATGTGACTACAATTGTTTATACTATAAATATGGTAAGTCTATAATCAGTCCATTCAAATGAAATTGATTAACTTATTTTTATCCATCAAGGATACAAAAAGGTCAGAATTTTTAATGATGAACACAATCTCTATTGAATTAGGGATTAGTTTAGACTTTATAATCTGCTGTAGAGCAATTTTTCTTGATTTAAAAAGATTCATATTTTCATAAATTTTATAAAACTTGAAGACAGTGAATTTGAATGACACATACACAGAAGTCTAAAAAACAAAATTAAAATACAGATTTATTTTAATACAGGGATATATTGGATCTTAGTGTCTAATGGAATGCAACAAACACAGCAATAATGCAATACTTTATTCTTGATAAACAATTACATTTTATGAAAGCTGTCACCTGTCAATACTGTCTATTTATGATCTAAGTTGAGAAATGCACTGACATGCCTTTGTGAGTTGTGCGTGGGGGGGGAAGAGAGAGAATTAAATCAATGTGGTAATAAATAGTCTTTATAAGACTGGATTCATGTATTTATTCTACCTAAATGACGGTATCAAAAACAAGGCCCCTTGCTCCATGGTCATTTCCAACCTATAGCATAAAAGGGGAATTTTAACTGTTACAACACCTGTGTTGCAAAATGACCAATACTCCAAGTATTGTTGCTTGACATATATGGTATTTACCATTCACCTTAAAAACAAACAGAAAACTGGCAGGTCTTTCATGAGGAAAAAAGACACCTGGATAGAGTGTAACACAAAATGAAAATGTATTATAATCCTCTATACTGAAGTGGTATTTATTTTCCTCAAACTACTTGTCCAAGTCTATTAAGTTTAAGTTAAAGGGAATGTGTTTTTTGATCCACCAAAAATATTTCTCAGTGGATGCAGGTGTATGTACTACAGAGTAAATTGTAGCAATATTATCAGTAAATTTATTTCTCTGTGATAATCACTTCTTATATGCAGTTATCTGCTTTTTGATTTAGAAAAGGACATTCCATAAAACTCTTCTGGAGTTCTCTAAGTTTCAGAATTGTCTGGCTGGCTGATGTGGAAATCCCAGGAACCTACATAACATAAAGAGCTTGGTAGGATGATGAGGACAAGACTGATGAGGGGAAGAAGGAGCTAGTGTATTCCTCTTCATTTTCTCTTATATTAAAAATATTGACGCAATTCTGGAATGCAAAAAATAATAATAATTCAACTGGAGTTATGATTTAGAATTTATATTGGATTTTTTTTTATTTCTCCACTATGTGGAACAACATACTATCTTTCTTTTGAAGTTTACCTCAAACCTGAGGCCAAAAGGAGGTATGTTGATGGAGTACTCTTTGTTTCAAGCCCTGATTTCTTCTGCCAAGGACAGAGAGGAATTCCACCGGGGATAAAGGAATGGGAGGAGGGAGAGGGGCTATGGGGGAAGTCCACCATCTGTTTTAACAGATGGGTCTGTCACATCAATCTAATTTGAGCCTAAGGGCCAATTCCAGCCTTCTCCAACCTGGTCCCCTGAAGACATGTTGAGAAATGTTCTGTGATATTATGAAAAAAAATCTGTTATGGTATGCCTTTCAAGCATTTGCTCTTAGAAACTGGTATAGTTTTCCAACAGAACAGTGCACTGCAATCTGGAGAGCTAGTCTAAATTTATAGAAGGATGTATGGTAGAAACATTCCTTTATTAACATTACTTAATGGAATAAAGTATGACATTATTATACTGTAACTATTTGTTTATTTTGTTGGAACCATGAGACATTAAAAATGTAATATGAATTTAATTTCATGGTAAATATAATTATTAAGTGATTAAAAATCACTTAATTATGATCGCCCAGCTTTATAACTTGTCCCTAGGCCTTGGGACACTATTCTAAAATAGATCTGGTGCCTAAATAGTGCAGTTTCATCTCACAGTGAAGTTTGTTATGCTGATATATCTTTTAACATAATTCTATTACATCTGAACAAAAAGTCTCATTCAATTTGTTTATTAATTCGGGTTAGTGCTATGAAAAGGAAGCATATTATTGGACAAAAATCGCTATCCGGAAGTCAATACACTTAAAAGATCAGGGGAAAATGTTCACATGATCTAGCGTGTCACAGAGAAAATCAAAGGTATATTGTGTTGGTTCTTTCAACCGACCAACTTCCATAGGGTGCTTATCATAGGGGGACTGTTGAAAAAACACCTTCACCGTGAGTGAAACGCACTCTCATGGATTCATTCAAAAAGCTGCTTCCAGCATTGGCCTATTTTCCTTAATTCTGCTAACTTGCCAGCAGAATTAAAGTGGTATGTGAAAGTATTAACCAGGGATTATCTTGTGGATAATACAAAATGCTTTCTTAGCAGGTTGTAAAATCTCACATATGCTAAGAAAAGTCTGGCAGAGATTTCTAGGCTGGCCATCAAACAGCAAAATATTTCACTCATATTAAAATAAAGATATTTTAAAATAGTCAAGAAGAGTTTGAATTACTCTTCATTGAGGATAACTAACGGGGGAAGTAATGCTTTATGCCATTTCTGGGAAAGAGAGTCTTTGGTGTTGTGAGAAGAGCCCATATAACGGACAATTTGGTGAACAGCTTTCACTCTCTATTCTTTCAATCCAGCCTGCATGCAGATCTTTCTATTTCTATGAGAGCTTCTGGAATGTAATTATTCAACTGAAGGGCAAACTGAAGAGCAAAATGATTGAAATGTTCAAAAGATACAAGTCCTGAAAGCTGGGACAAGTAAGGAACTTTAATGGTAGCAAAAATAAGAAGCCTAAGTAATTAAAAATGTAAATGTTGCTTGAGCTGACCAAAAACATAGTCCTTCTCTTTATGTAGTTTACTAGCTTTCTCTAAGGCTGGTTTATAAGTAGTGTATTTTTCTTTGCTTTATCTACAGCAGATTTTACTGAATAAGGATCAACTACAACAAGAATGGTACAGATTGCTATATCCATATTAAGTAATATGAAATAAATAAATAAATAATCTTTGCAGATAGATATGAATACAGAGCTGAGCAATCATGCAAATTAGGTGTATTTTATCTTAGATAAAGGAAATTACATGGCAAACCTCTGCAAACAAAGTACAGGAAATACAATGTTTCTAAATGTTTATTCTCCAGCACTGTATGATTGATCATTTCTTTGATATACTAAAGGAACCTTATTTTACTATTGATATTTGCAAGGGGATAGCTAATGAGACTAGAGGATAAATACAAAAAATACAATATTTTTATTGTACTTCCACATCACTCTATAACACAAGTCTTTTTATGTTCCAAGCAGCTTTCACCTCTTCCTTCCTTGTGTTCACTTTCTATTCCTTCCCTGTATGTATTGAACAACTTCACTCCACTAGTTCAAGCTACCTTCATTCAAATGTCTCCCCCCCACCCCTTGCTTTCACAGATATACACCAGAAAATCTATAGTAACTGTGCTCTACCACTCATCAAAGCTTTAGCAAGCATGACAAAAAGTGTGGCAGCTGTTTTATCCCAAATATGCTTACACACATTTCTTGGCAAATTGTAAATGCAAAAAAATTACTTTGGAAAATAATTCTGGTTCACATACCCCAATCAGGAGATAAATGCATTTACTGACATAGAAAAGTCATTTGTCCTGGAATGCATGACTTAATCTCTAAATTTATGAACCAAACACTTCTGAATTGGGAGCACCCAGGAAAGAGGAAATGAAGGCAGACTGGTTAAACTAGCTAGTTCACACTTTCATGCCCAAGTGGCATATTATTTTAAACCTGAAGCATATTGAACACCCAAAAGGAAAACAAGAAAACTTTACACTTTTATGTGCCAGCTTCTTATATAGCTTATGTTCTTCTCTGTGTTCAATCTGCTTGATGGCCCAAAAGTCCAATGCTACTGCTGTGCATAAAGGCTCAGTCACTTTCAAATTATTTATAATACCACATTGATACGTAAAACATTTGGGTACTTGAGTTATTTGTTTTTCTTTATGAACTGAAGACATTATGTATTTTACAGGCCTATTTGTGTTGAAAAAAACATGTAACTTTCCATTGCAGGTAAAATAACAATAATCTCTGAAAACCTCAGTGTTTTATTGTGTTAATCTGCACATTCTTTCTCTGTTCATGTGCATTTTATAATATCAAGAATAAAAGATGACGGACATGTTTTAGAGCAAAGCTACAGATATTTTGTTTCCTTCAGACTCATTCCCTTAATATTTTCATTAACATTGAAGCTACTATGATTTAACTTTTTATAATTCTTTGGAAATGCCATATGATAGGATCATAAATATCTCCATTTCACCTTATTGTAGTTTTTGATAGAAAAACCATGACTTTGGAAAAACCAGTAGTATGAAAGTGGCAGGGGAATCAACAATGCTGCAATGAAATAATTCTAAGACAATTCATTTTTTAACAAGATGACCACCATGTTATCTAGAATTCAATGAAAACTAGCCACAAATGTAAATAAATTTTAATTCTAACTATATTCTATCCTTGTGAGTTACTGAAGGCATTTGACTATTCAGTAGGGTTACCTAACATGTTGTTACTATTTCCTTCTATAGACACAGCAAATGACTTTGGGTAGCTTCCAGGTTTCAATATCCAGATGCCATCTAGCCAGGCCCTCCTAGTGTATTTAGCTTTGGTAGTCACTATTGTCTTCTTCCCCCACCCCCCGCAACAGTACACCAGACACTAGATTGATCTGATGTAATATAGCAAAGGGAAAAAAAAAACCTCCCAGAAATTTAACACTCAAAATGAAAAGAGTCCCACTGCTTTGCTGAATTGCAGAGTGGATCCTGCTGTGACAAAACTTCAGGAACAGCACTCACAAATCTGAAGGGAGCTCTCTGCTTGAGGTAATCAATTATGCAAAGCAGAAATTGCACCAATCGAAGAATTCATCTGCCTTGTCTAATACAACAGTAAATATATTCCCCAGAGTAAATAGGTAATTAAAAAAATTCTCAGGAATTTTGACCTACCTGAGAGACCTTTCTGACAACATCGTTGCCCACACCAAGTCCCTGCACAAAGGAACGAACTGCAATAAAGGCTCTTGTTGCCTTGAGCTTCAGATCCCTTGGAATCTCTCCAAATGGCTTATGCTGTTCTGAGTGCTTCACTATGCAGTCCATATATTCATCAGGAAGCTGGTACTGGGGATTCATCAACTTGAAAAGCCGCTCTAGCAGGTGAGTCCAAAATTCATTGAGGGCTTCTTCTAAATTAATGTTGGGACCTCGATAATAATGCCGCAGCTCACTATACAAGTCTTTGAAAAGCTTTACATTCTGGAGATAAAGGTCTCCATACATACCAGGAAATGTGTCATAAAGTGCCTTTTCTGACTTGTTTAACAAATCCTGGAAGTAACCTGAAATCAAAAAAGTAGGAGAAACAGGTCACTAAAAGAATCTAGAATTTCTGGAATGAAATTAACCTGAATTAAAGACATCTTCAAATTAATTTATTGCACCATTACTAAAATGAAATGAAAAAAAAAACCTGGTATGTTTAGTGCACTTGTATCTTCAAGCCAGGGGTGGGTTTCAACCGGTTCGCGGCG